TTTTTTTTTTAAACTTGGATGACTTTTTTTGCCCGATGGACTTACACTGTGATGTACATAGATCCCTACGTGGATGCTGCAGCTGCTGCTGTTTGAGCCTGGGGAGGGTGGCTGCTTTTTTTTCCCATATCTCTGTTGCAAGGAAATGATAATAAATAATTTTCCTGGCTGGGTGGCAGCCGGGTTATGCTGCGGTGGGTGCGTTCTTCTGTAGCCCCTGGAGCTCCATGGAGGTTTTAATTTGGGTGATGCTGGTGGATCACAGTCACAGAGCAGCCTGCACTGGCCCCGGGCAGGGGCTGGAGATGCTCCAGGATCCATGGGACAGGTGTCTGGAGCTGCCTTGCTTCGTTTTCTGGTGGCCCAAAGGCCATCTCCTTCCATCGTGATCCCGAAAGGCAAACAGAGCGATGTGGGCTGAGCAAACAGTGGCTGGGGCAGCAGCTGGCGGGTGTTTACACAGGGTGTGTGCTGCTGAGTCAGCAAAGCCAGCCCGGCACTGGGCACGGGGAGCAGAGCCCTCCCCTCTGGGGATGCTTTGGGGGCGGGAGGGGAGCCTGGAGGCACATCCACTGCACCCCTGGGCCACGTCCCGCTGAACCACAGGGACAGGGTGCAGCTCCTTGGGCTGGGATTGCTCTACAAGGGGGAGGACAGAGATTTTATTCATAGAATCACAGAACAATTTGGGTGGAAGGGACCTTAAAGCTCATCCTGTCTCACCCCCTGCCATGGGAAGGGACACCTTTCATTAGAACAGGTTACTCCAAGCCCCATCCAGCCTGGCCTTGGACACTTCCAGGGATCTAGGGGCAGCCACAGCTTCTCTGGGCAACCTGTGCCAGGGCCTCAACACTCTCAAAGTGAAGAATTTTTTCCTTATATCAGCTGAAATTTGTCCTCTGGCAGTGGGAAGCCATTCCTCCTTGTCCTCTCCCTCCAGGCCCTTGTCCAAAGTCCCTCTCCAGCTCTCTTGGAGCCTCTTTAGGCCCTGGAAGGGGCTCTCAGGTCTCCCTGGAGCCTTCTCCTCTCCAGGCTGAACCCCCCCAGCTCTCCCAGCCTGGCTCCAGAGCAGAGGGGCTCCCTGGGAGAGACCTGCAGGATGTGACCCATCTTCAGTCACCAACAGGGACGTTGCCTGTAGGTGAGGGGAAGCAGCAGCATGAACAGACAGGGGACAGCATGTCCACTGCAGGGCAGTCAGGTGGAGTTTGGAACAGGTTTTATGTTTATCCTCGAGTGTGACGCAGGTGACAAGCTGGACTGGAGGCTCCCAAGTCCCTCGTGCAGGTGACAGCACTGCCAGTGGCACAGGGAAGGAGGGCCCCAGGAGCTGGAGGTGGCTGAGCCCCAGACCACCAGCAGCCCTTGGTGCCTCTGAGCTGTTCAAGAACAAATGTAACCCAGTCCCAACACTAAAAAGGACAGATTTTCCTTCCAGAAGTTCCTGTTTGGGATGTTTAACGTTCTTCATCAAAACCACAACCCTGTCTTGTTTTCCTCTCTTTCTATGATGCCTTTAATGAGTAATTTGAGCCCTGGGACAGTGACTGATGGATGCAGCTGGAAAATCAATAAAGAGCTAAATCTGGAGTGGGAAGACTCCTGTTCGTTTCCCTGGCTGTACCAGTGGCTGAGGGGCTTCAGCTTTCATCATCACATGCTGTACAGCCCCTGTGAAATTTGGGGAATTATGTGAGTTCCCATTGCCAACATGCAAACCCCTCTGGCTGGACACAGCACTGTGGTGCTTCCAAACACTTTGTACCTGTTCCTGGGTCTCACCCTGCGATTCCCCTGCAACAGAGGCCTGTCCTCTCCAGGGGAGGCCAGTGGGACTCCAGGGGAGATCGAGGGACTCTCCCAAAACCACTGCTGGGGCTTTTCCCTGAGCTGGGATCAGTCCTGTCCCCACCTGGCTGGAGACACTGCATGCTTGGACACTTCCACTCTATCCTTTGCCAACACACAGATCTTCTTGCTTGTGCTTTTTGAGGTCAAAACGGGCCAGAAACCACATGTCAAGGTTTGTTTTTTTCCTAAAGCAGAAGTGATTCCCCGGCAGCACAGGGGAAACAAGGACAACAGCACATTCCCACAAGACTTTGATGGTTTTGCTGTATTTGCTGCGGTGGGAGGTGGGGGTTTGGGTTCGGCGAGTGGGGCAGGAGCGGGGGATGGAGCCAGACCTCGGGCGGAGGCTTGAGGCCGTGGTGGGGGGTCTGAGGACCCCGTTCCCATCCTGCTGGGGAGTGGATCAGTGTTATCCAGGGCTTTCCCAAAGGAGCATCCCGAGGTATCCGGGGGGCGGGAGGGACATTTTGGGGGGTTGCTGCCCTCTGCAGGCATCGACACGAATCGCAGGGAGCAGGGAAAATCCTCTGGGATCATCGAGTCCGACCGCTGATTCAACACCGCCGTGCTCACCACCAACCCATGTCCCCAAGTGCCACATCTACACGTCCGTTAAATCCCTCCAGGGATACTGACTCCACAACCCTTCCAGTGAGGAAATTTTCCCCAGTATCCAACCTAAACGTCCCCCGGTGCAATTTGAGGCTGTTTCCTCTAATCCTGTCTCTTGTTACCTGGAAGAAGGGACCGCTCCCCACCTGGCTCCAACCTCCTGTCAGGCTGTTGTAAAAGGCATTGTGTAAGGTATCGATTCCTGCCTCACATATTTTTTACTCTCTAATTAAGATATTTGAGATCCAGAAATCCAGCAGCTGCTGGGTGCAAGAGAAGTGACTACAACTAGCAGACAGCCTGATCCCAGATATGAACTCGCTTTCTTGCACCCTCACAAAAGCATAATTCAATACCAGGGGGCAAAGGAAAACAAATCTGCTTAACACACTTCATTTCACGCTGCTGTAAAGCAAAATTCAAGGAAGTTAGTTGGGAAATAAAATCAGAACCTTTGCCTGCATCAAGCAAAACTGTCAGCAATAGTGTTAGCGAGCAGAGCACCTCAGCAAGCCAAGGCATCAGGCTCTTTTGGTTTAGGCTCTGGTTTAGGCCCACCTGCCCACAAGACCACCCTGCACCCACAGGGCAGAGGCAGACACCTTCACTAAATCTTGTATTTCTGCACAAGCACTCACAGAGAGTGATATAATTAATATATAAAATAAAATAGAATATAAATAAAAAGCAATACAATAAACAAACAAACAAACAAACAAATGCCCTTTGTGGCTGTTCCAGTCCCCATCCCAGCCCTTGGCTGAAGGCACAGAGCTGGGTGCTGCCAAGGGGCACATTTCCCCTCAGGACAGTTGTCCCCAGGGCTGTGACCCAGCAGATGGACGAGTGGCTTTGGGATACAGCTCCAGAGGGTGGCCAAGCTGGGACACGGCCTCATCCAGGTGTCCACTGGGAATCTTTTCCTTTGCCCCCCCCCCCGAGCACCCCAGGGAGGTGCTGCAGAGGGGCCACCCAGGGTGGGCGAGCACCGTGGCCACCCCATGATAGGGAAGGACAGCACGGGGGGTTGCCCTTTTCTCCACCTTCAGAGTGTAAATTCCACTACTTTGAATTCAGTCAAGGCCTTCAGGATTCTTTTTTTTTTTCCAAGCCAGTTATAAAAATGACATTGGAATCACAATTCCAGTGCTAACAATAGCATCACTCAAAGCTGCTGCCCAGAAGTGGGGAGGTCTGGGCAGAATAAAGAGCTAAACTAAAATGTCAATAATAACTCCTTTTTCCCCCTCCCTCTCTTCCAGCCCTCACAATCTCCTTGGGTCTCTCTATCTTAATGAGCATTAAAATGATTTCAAATTAGATCTACAGAAAATTGAATTTTTTTTCCCCTCAGAA